GCAGAGCTTGAGCATAAGCAGCACAGTGAAGCAGATAAGGATTGTGCAGAGCTTGAGCATAAGCAGCACAGTGAAGCAGAGAGGGATTGTGCAGAGCTTGAGCATAAGCAGCACAGTGAAGCAGAGAGGGATTGTGCAGAGCTTGAGAGTAAGCAGCACAGTGAAGCAGAGAGGGATTGTGCAGAGCTTGAGAATAAGCAGCACAGTGAAGCAGAGAGGGATTATGCAGAGCTTGGCCCGCTGCCAACAACATATTGTCATGCGCTCGTGCCCGTCCCGCTGTGGCATCAGCGCTGCGCCACGTGTCACGTGATCCACCCTGTACGGACGAGGATGTAAACTCGTGATGTAAAGTGGCTGAGTGGAGTCTGCCTATCCGGGCAGAAGTGCGTGTCTGTATGTGTCTATTTGTGTGCCTCTGTCTGAAATATTTGTGTGTATGTGTGTGTGTGTGTGTGTGTGTGTGTCTGTGTGTGTGTGTTGCCCATTGTTCCCACCCTGTCATCTCTCTAAGGCATATAGTAGACTCACCGTCCTCACTGTCCACCTGGAGAGCATTTAGGGAGGGGGAGGCATAGAACAGATTAAGCAAGAAGGTGAACAACAGAGAAAGAGAGGAAGCTGGAGGGAGGCAAGGAAATATAATCTATAAAACAACATGAAGCAGAAACCTAGCAGAGTGAGCGCGGGGCCGTCACATCCCCAGACACATCATGCCCGCTGTTGTGGTTTCGCGGTGGCGGCAGGCTGAATGCGGCTGCGACGGACTATTGCACGCGTCCCACTGCACGCGTCCCGCTGGCTGTGCTGATATCACCGATGACTCACCGCCATGTGACCTGGTCCAGCAAAGCTGTCACTGTCCGCGGTGTCTGGCTCTGGCGAGGAGCAGCGCTGCGGCACCCGCCGCCCCGTCCTCATCTTCCTTCTCACCCTCCCCATTGGGAAGAGGGGGGAGCTGTTTCTGCAAAAATTGTGTGGGATAAAAATACGCCTGGCTGTGACTGCAGCGGTTGGCTGGTCAGGTGGTCCATGCCTCCTCAGCATCAGCACAAGCAGGGAGGCCTTCGCCCTGCACCCCACCCCCTCTGTCCCGTTGAACACTGCTTCCTGTCACCCCCATTGGCATGCCTACTCCCATGATTCCCCTCTTTCTCTGTCCAGTGTGGAAGGGGACCCCCCAAGCTCTGAAGTGGGCAATTTCTCAGACCCCCAGTGCCAGGCCCCGTATCTGCGTGGTGCCGATCGATACAGCGACGGTGGCGGGCTCCCAAGTACCCAGGGACCACCGGCGGCCCCGCCGAGCCCTGCTAGCCTGGCCTGGGCACAGCGGAGCCGACACCAGCCTGCCAGCCTGGCTCTCCGCAAGCAGGAGGAAGAGGAGAACAAGAGGTGCAAGGCGCTATCTGACAGCTATGAGCTCTCTACGGACCTCCAGGACAAGAAGGTACGTTTTGGGTGGGGAGCAGTAAAAATGTCGGCAATTGCCGCCCTAGGGTGACAGGCAAAAGGAGGGTGCCCTTGCATGCACGGGTGCTGTCTCTGCATCTGCTATGCTGATGCCATCTTTGCCGGCAGGTGGAGATGCTGGAGCGGAAGTACGGCGGTTACTTCCTGAGCCGGCGGGCCGCGCGCACTATCCAGACGGCCTTCCGCCAGTACCGCATGAACAAGAACTTTGAGCGGCTGCGCAGCTCGGCCTCAGAGAGCCGCATGACGCGCCGCATTGTCCTCTCCAACATGCGCCTGCAGTACTCCTTTGACGAGCGGCAGCCCCAGGCACAGCAGCGATACGCCGGCGCTGGTGGCCGACCGCTCGCCCAGGCCGGAGCCCCAGACATGGCCGGTGGCTCCCCGCCCCGTGGCTCTGCTGACCGGCCTGAGTACACTCACTTGGAAGACTCCTTCTCCAAGCAGGTGAGGCCGTGGGAACCCCTTTGCCCTGGGCAGCACTGAACCCAAGGCATGAACACCTATCTGCTTACCACTGTAGCCCAGCTCTTCACGCTCATGCCAAACTCTGGGCCATTAAACAGGGCCTAAGCCCAGTGTCTCCATCCTGAAATGGCTCCATTTCCATCCCGGTACCCAGGCTTCCCAGGTCTCTCGATCCTGCAGGAATGCCTTTACAGGTTCCAGGCTCCAGTGTCACTTCTCTCTATAACAGTCCCTTAGCTGGGCCCATAATGTACCATGAGGAGCCACACTTGGAGTTCCTGCCTACTCGTCAGGCCCCCTACAGGGCTGCCGCATGAGTGTGACCGATGACGATATCAGTGACACTATTTACTCCCTCTTACTGTAATCTGCCACAGTGGCTCTTCACTTTGTTCTGGTCTGCTCCGCCTCCGCTCCCTCACGTGAGGCTGATTCATCTCCATCTGCCCTTCAGGTGAAGTCCCTGGCAGACTCCATCGACGACGCCCTGACGTGCCAGTCAGGACGAGAGGACTCACAGGAGGGCAGCAGGGAAGGCGAGGGAATAGGCGGGGTGGAGGGTGACGATTTTGGGGAATGCGTGTGGAGCAACAGCAGCAACCCTTTGTCTCGCCGGGGACACAGTGAGCGGGAGCGGGGTGGTGGCGGGGGCCTGAGCATGCACGAGGACAGCACAGCCACCTCCTACAGCGACGTCACGCTGTACATGGACGACGGGCTGCCGTCGTCCCCGCTCTCGCTGGACAGGGCCCCCAGCAGCACCGACACCGAGTACTGGGGCATGGGTGGCGGCGTGGGCATCCGCGAGGACAGCCGTGATACCGAGGGCGGCGGCAGCAGCAACAGCCGGCGGAGCACCCCCTGCACGGAGTGCCGCGACTACCGGCTGCGAGGGGCCCACCTGCCACTACTGACCATCGAGCCGCCCAGCGACAGCTCGGTGGACATGAGCGACCGCTCCGACCGCGGCTCCCTCAGCCGGCAGCTCATCTATGAGCAGGAGCCGGGTGGGGGGGCAGGCTCACCCCAGGGCACCCTCAAGCACAGCCCCAGCCCCCGCACTGTCTCCACCGCCCAAGGCCAGACCCGTACCCCGGTCAGGCCTCACCCCGCTGTCCTCCCTGCCCAACTACCCCACCACGTCGCCACCCACCATCACCACCACCACCATCACCACCACCACCCACTACACCACCACCAGTACCCCGACACACCACCCTCCTCCGCCTCTCCCCAGCAGCAGCCCCCCACCACTCCCCTGTCCTCCTCCTCCTCTGCCCCCATGGCCCCCAGCAGCCTGGAGCAGCCGTGCTGCTCGGACGGCGACAATGACTCTCTCAACTCCACCACCAACTCCAATGAGACCATCAACTGCAGCTCGGGCTCGTCGTCCCGCGACAGCCTACGGGAGCCGCTGCCCCCACTGGGCAAGCAGACCTACCAGCGAGAGAGCCGCCACAGCTGGGACTCGCCGGCCTTCAACAATGACGTGGTGCAACGGAGGCAGTACCGCATCGGCCTCAACCTCTTCAACAAGTGAGCAAGGGTGACGGATGGAGGACCCAAACTTACCATTTTGCTTCCATTTTTCTAGAAAGTCTGCTAAGAGGTTCTGTTACCTGTCTCTTTGTGGTCTTGCAATGTTCTACAATCCCACTTGTCTTGGTACAGGAAGCCAGAGAAGGGCATTCAGTACCTGATAGAGAGAGGCTTTGTGTCAGATACTCCAGTTGGCATCGCCCGCTTCATCCTCGAGAGGAAGGGGCTGAGCCGGCAGATGATCGGGGAGTTCCTGGGCAACAGACAGAAGCAGTTCAACAAAGACGTATTGGAGTGAGTAAAATGGTGGAGAGAGAAGCAAAAATGAAGGGCGAAGAATGCTGCCAAAAGGTCAGAGCAGACATCTTATTAGATGGTAGCCACTACTCTGTGTGAGCTCTACCATGCAGACCAAGGCAATGGTCTTCAAATGGGGGGTGGGTGTTTGAGTTTCTTTTATCCAGTGGCCATGTGGCGGTTTCTTACCGAACAGCGATATAGCAGTATTAACCATGGAGCATGCCGCTTACCGAACAGCGATATAGCAGTATTAACCATGGAGCATGCCGCTTACCGAACAGCGATATAGCAGTATTAACCATGGAGCATGCTGCTTACCGAACAGCGATATAGCAGTATTACCCATAGAGCATGCTGCTTCCAGGCTCGGGAGGTGTGGGTAAAGAAGCAGGGCCTTTACCTCTCACTGTCGGCTCCCTTGTGCCTCAGCTGCGTGTTGGATGAGATGGATTTCTCAGGGATGGACCTGGACGACGCTCTGAGGAAGTTCCAGGCCCAGATCAAGGTTCAGGGGGAGGCCCAGAAGGTGGAACGCCTCGTGGAGGCTTTCAGGTACCAGAGATGCGTGTTTTTTGTGTTCCACAGCCTCGGGATGGATGCCTCACATTCCTGTTATGAGAGTCCCTGGGGGGTCCTGAGCTATTCTTACCTACAGCCCCCCCCCCTTTCTGTATGTTACAGTCATTACTCACAGTTGTGCCCTGAAGTCTAAATATAGTGTAAATCCCAAAGGGTTATCTCACGTGAGTATTTTAAGCCATGTGAATTAAATGTATTTCAAGGCCAAAACAGCAGGGCTACTCTGGAAAGGTGTGCCTCTCCCTGCAGGCTCGGCACCTTACACATGCCTGTGATGCATATCCGAGTTTAGGTGCACAGTCACAAGGGTTTTTAACTTTCATTAGCTGTTTGTTTTGGCGCACATGGTGTGCATTGTGTCCAGTTTACACATGGTACATAAAATGTCTTTTACAATATTGTTAATTAACACTGCAGCCATACTGACATGGAATAGTGTTGCCAAGCTGTACAGACACTCTGTACACACTCCATGTGCACAGTGAATAAACTATGGACATATCTGTCCTCCTTGATCTGTAGACAAGGCCGCTCTTCTCACTGATCTATATGCGAAGTTGCTGTTCTCTTTGGTCGATGGACAAACGCGTTCTCTCAGATAACCTAATATTGTCTATTGTGTTGACAAAATGATTAGGTCAATGCCAAGTTATGGTTACACTCCTAAAAGTGTGATATTAAGATCTGTTTTATTATTTCCACATAGGTCAATGGACTTTGACTAAATAAAGAGATACAGTTCTGAAAAAAATTGAGACCACAGCAAAATTTTCAGTTTCACTAATTTCTCAATTTATGGGTATGCACATGTGTAAAATGCACATTTTTTGCAAACTCCAGTCTGGCTCTTCCCTGCTTCTTATTAATGAAGGGCATCTTCTTTGCTTTATGTATCTTCAGTCCTGCTTCTGAGAGCCTGTTATGAATAGCAGTGCACTTCACACCTACACTGACTGTTTCCCATTCTTTTTGAAGGTCACTTGAGGTCATCGTCCGATTTATGAGTCACTGCCAGATAATTAACAGTCATCTCTGGCATTAGAAAGTTGCTTCTGCCCTCTACCTGGCTGGTTTCTGGTCGTTCCCAGTATCTCCTGCCTCGCCTTGTTCTTGTGTACTGCCTCAGATTTCCTTTGGCCTGCCTTATGCCTCACATGTCCCTTTTTCTCTTCTCCACCACCCCCCAGTCAGAGGTACTGTGTCTGTAACCCGGGGCTGGTCCGCCAGTTCCAGAACCCGGACACCATCTTCATCCTGGCCTTTGCCATCATCCTCCTCAACACCGACATGTACAGCCCCAACGTCAAGCCCGAGAGAAAAATGAAGCTGGAGGATTTTATAAAGAACCTACGAGGTGAAGAAGACTTCGGTCTTCTCTCCCCTCATGTGTCTCTCACTTGCTGTCCTTTACACACCACCTGCCCTCGCCATGCCTCTGTCCTCCTTCCATGTCCTCCCCCCACCCCATGGTGGCCCTGGCCCCCCATCTCTCTCACAATGCAGTGTTTTGCCCTTCATCTGGGCCTTTCATCTCATCGCTGCTCCCTGCTGACTGTTGCTTTCATCTGCATTCCCACTATTCCCCTTTATCCCCTTCCCTTCCTTATTCTCTCTTTCTCTCCGTCTCCCTCTCTCTCTCGCTGTCCATACCTTCAATCCCCCTCTTTCTTTCTTTGTTTCACAGGGGTGGACAACGGTCAGGACATCCCCAGAGACATGCTGGTAGGCATCTACCAGCGCATCCAGAAATGGGAGCTGAGGACCAATGACGACCACGTGTCCCAAGTGCAGGCCGTGGAGAGAGTCATCGTGGGGAAGAAGCCTGTAAGTTCTGCCTTCTATCTACCCATCGACTCTAATGACCTCATTTCGATTCATTTCGGGATGCTTTGACAGCCATTCCATAGGTAAAGAGGAACAACAGATGGAAATAATGTGCTTCAACATACAGCAAGCATCATAAGCTCCTGCACTCGACTTCGACATCTCACAGAGGATCTGCAGATTTACAGTCTAACAGTGTTTCTTTTACACAATGGGCCTTTTTACGATTCCCACATTAAGAAGTTTTTATGCTTAATTGTTTTTTACTAAAATAGCAGGCATTATACTGGCAGCAAGTTACAGCACAGAACTTACTGGAAAACTGCTGTCTAAATCCCTACCAGGGATACATCTGTTGTACTTTTGCACGGGACCTTTTTTTTAATGTATATAAATGTAATGGAACTACGAATATGGCATTCAAGCAGGGATGTATATAAAACTTTTTGATTGGCCGGCAACAAGCCCAGTATGTCGGTTTTGGGTTAACTGTGCTAAAAGTATCACCTGCAATAAAATGGGCAGCAGCAGTTTTATGCTGCCCCTGTCATACATGCCTGAATGATAATGATTTTTCACAGATAGTGAAAATTGTTTTGGCAGATCCAGACAGGGCTCAAAATGTTAATTTACAACTCAACAGCGCCTGTAAACTCTCACATGGACAGTGGCAAACATGTAATCGGTAGATTGAATAGCATTTGAATTTGTTTCAGAGAGTGGTTTTGTGAAACACAGTAAAGAATGCTCAGTCTTTGAACTGAAATGATCTCTTAGCTACTGGAATAAAACATGGCAAGTCTGATTTCGGGAGTGAACTTGAGGATTGTCCATGAATTTGGAAACGGAGAGTATCTGATGCTGTGCAACTTGCGGGGAGAAACCGCAATAAGCCATGCTGCTGTCATGGCGACGGGCGAAAATGGAGCTGCAGCGAGCTGCTGATGCTCTTCCCCCGTGCCGTGCCTCACCCTCTTCCCCCGTGCCGTGCCTCACCCTCTTCCCCCGTGCCGTGCCTCACCCTCTTCCCCCGTGCCGTGCCTCACCCTCTTCCCCCGTGTGGCGCGTGCAGGTGCTGTCGCTGCCCCACCGCAGGCTGGTGTGCTGCTGCCAGCTGTATGAGGTACCTGACCCCAACCGGCCCCAGAGGAGCGGTGTGCACCAGAGGGAGGTCTTCCTCTTCAACGACCTGCTGGTGGTGAGGATACCTGCCACTGTGTGTGTGTGTGTGTGTGTGTGTGTGTGTGTGTGTGTGTGTGTGTGTGTGACAAGACAGATGGGAGCGTTGTTTGTGTGGCCGGACCATGTGCCAGGCACATGCCCAGAAATCATACTGGAATGACCTGGCACCTTTGCAGAAGGAGTCTCACTGGTCTATGCCGTCTCTCATGTCCCTTGATATTTTCAGGTGACGAAGATCTTCCAAAAGAAGAAGACGTCAGTCACGTACAGCTTCAGGCAGTCTTTCCCACTAGTGGAGATGCAGGTCCACCTGTTCCAAAACTCCTGTAAGATATTTACATATTTGCAGCCAAAGTCTGGGTGTTTTTCAGTATCTGTCTTTGGCCATACTTGTGTTCTTGCATACTTGTTTTAAGTCATCTTCCATTGCCGAAGACCAGTTCCATTACTAAGAGCAGAAGTGCAGAGGACGGTAAAAATCCCCGGATGTCGTTCTCACCCCACCCCAAATATCAAGGATGCATCAGTTGCATCCTCGCCAAATTAGAATAATCCCATGATTCATTGCTTCCCAAGTTTTGTTCGGTAAGGCAAGTCAGTATGACCATTCCTGCCAACACCACAAGTCCGATCCTTGCATTCTTGGTACTGAGAAACACCCCCAGTCTGATTTTGCCAGTAGAGTCCAAAGAGACCAGATGAAAAAAACCTTTCTGTGCTTATTTTAATTTATGTGAAGTGCTACAAATATAAGGACACCCTTCGAGAACATTAAACAGGTCTTGGATAAGAGGAAGACTGAGTATGTTGTACAAGCTCTTGAAGGCTTTGTGTTTGCTTTGTTTGCTATAATGACCTCATCAGAGATGTGTGGCCCACACAGGCTTATTATGAAATGGCACAGAGGTGTAGCACGTATGTGTATCGCCCATGCTGCAGACTATCCCCACGGCATCCGGCTGACGTCGGCCATCCCGGGAGGGGAGAGGAAGGTTCTAATCGTGTTCACGGCTCCCAGCCAACAGGACCGCACGCGCTTCACCAGCGACCTGCGGGAGAGCATCGCCGAGGTGCAGGAGATGGAGAAGTACAGGGTGGAATGTGAGTGTCCTTCCCAGGGGCATCATAAAGGGGGGGGGGGG